TATTATAATTATTTATCAGAGGAGTAGAATGTATAGTTGAAGGGGTGGACGCTAGAGAATTTTCTTTAATATTTTTTTTTTGCGGTGACCTAGGTCTTTTTTTTCTGCTAGGTTCATATCTATATTCCGGATTTGAATATAATAAACGTTTTTTTGCTAGATCGGCTAGTTCTATGAAAAGATAATATACAGCCGGATTTTCCTGTTCGTTCCATGCCTGGGTCGCCAAAGTTGATATAATATCTGCTTTTTTAACATTATAATTTTGATCGTTTTGAATTTTTATTTTATTTTTTCGTAAACCTTTGTGAAAATTTTTACGAAAAATCATAAAAGGATTTAAGGAACGCGGCGGTTGTTCCCTTTCATTTTTCGTATATTTGGAACCTTCTCTCGAATTAGCAGAAGTTTCTGTCAATTCTTCTAATGACAAATAAATGGAATATGCGGGATTTACTAACAGTTTTTCGACTTTTATTTTTTGGTCGAAATATTCCTCTTCGATTGTCTTCGAGTTTTTGTAACTTTGGGATGTTCCAAGAATAAATTGAAATTCTCGAGATTTTGTAGACATGGCAAAAAAGTTTTTAATAATAACAACAATAGTGATTATAATAATGATGTGACGATGATAGAGTTCAATTAATAATTTTTTCGATTTTATCGGGTGGTACATTCATTTTATTCCTTTTCTGGAAACAAAGCCCAAGTATTAAAAGAAATATCATTCTCATTCCCATGTGCAATCTTTCTGGCAAATTCGATAAATCAAAAATGTTAAAAAATGATTATTTGGGTTTTACGATGACAAATAGGAAAAAATTAGAAAAAATTAGAAAACGTGCGTGACAAAAAACAAATACGAAAAAGTAAAGATCGACAACCCTAACCTAATCTAACCAGCATTAACTCTAACTCCTAACCTGGCCAACACTAACCTAACAATTTCTTAGATCAATTTATGCACACAAATTCATGGGTACACTAATTCGATGTACACAAATTTTAACTGGTTTTTCAAATTTAGAAATATTCTTTGTTCTCAGAAAAGGATGTTTGTTACACATCACGGTTTTTGACATGTAAATAACATGGCGAATACAAGAGAAGAGATGTAATGATGATGATAATAATGAATGATGATAATAATGAATGATGATAAGAAATTTCTTTTCAGAAAACGCGAAAAGCGAATATTCAATAAGGAATGTTCTTTTATAAATATAAATTGTAACGTAACATTATAAATTTTATATTCGTGTAATGAACAGTAATTGTTGAAATGTAATATTTATTATCAATAAAATAAAATAAAACATATTACCTGCACAATTTTTATAGAATGCTCTTTCGTTAGTATTATATTATCTGTAACAATAAATAGAAAGAAATAGAAAGAAGAGATAATAATGGTAACAATAAAAGCAGATGATAATACGTATGAAAGAAAAAAATATTCTAACTAAATAAGGATAAAATAATAACTTGAATTAATCATATTTATCTGTTACGATGATGAAAAAATTATGATTTTGACGCTTTATTATTGTATTATTGTCATATATAATATTGTTTTATACTTTATATGGATTACGGGAAGATTCCCCTGGAATGTGGAGGTCGTGTATTACTATTTATAGAAAGGTAGATCTAGATTCTGTCATATTAAATTGTACAAATATATATTATTTATATTATTTATTATTTATTATTATTACAAATTAAAAAGTTTATTTTTTTTTTTTTTTAAAAAAAAATACTATTTCTTATCTCTTATCTTTAATTTTTTTCCTTCCATTCTTGTTCATTTTTTCTATCTCGCGCTATCTTATCCATTATCATTAAAACTACTTTAAAACTCGTAAATGTATTTTATTTTGTATTTATATTTATTTTTTTATAAATATATCATTATTCAGATCAAAATTAATTCCTCAATTTTTTACTTCCAAAAAAAAAAAAAAAAAAAAATTATATTTACAAAAATCAAAAAGTTTCAAAAAAGGTTTATAGAAATCTTATAGAAATCTTATATGTATCCAGAAAATATTCCACGCCAATTTCTCATCAACGACAACAACAAAACTTTCATTCTTGTAAAAAACAACTTTTATCAAAAAATATTAACAACGTTACGAGCAAACATAAAAAAACAAAGAATATAATTAATTTAATTGCACAATGATAAAAATTGAATTGCACACTGATGAACTTTCTCAAGTTTTATGCATACTTGGTGGATTCATAATATGTTATGGTTTGGTATCTTATTTAATCAAAGAACGATTGTACTTATCTGAAGCTTGTAAGTTTGGTTACATTTTTTTGTGGGATCATTTCCTTATTTCCTTATTTGACAATCATGTGATATATGTGATATACAACGAATTAATTATTATATTATTAGTGGTATCAACAATTGTAGGGATAATTTTAGGTCCTGTAGCTTTACGTATCTTGAATCCTAGTGTATGGGGAAATCAAACTGAAATTACTCATGGATTTACGCGAATTGTTCTTGCCATTCAAGTTATGTTCTCTGGTGTAGCATTACCAAAGTATGTTATTTATAAATTATTTGAAAAATCTTTTTTTTTTTTTTGAAGTTTACTTAATATATATATATATATATGTATTATTTATTATTTATTTAATATGTTTATTTATTTATATTAGGGCATATCCAGTTAAAGAGTTCAAATCTCTTATGATTTTACTTTTTCCTGTATTGATTTCCTCATGGATTTTTAGTGGATTATTAATATGGTGGATAATTCCACAATTAACATTTGTAAGATTATTTTTAATCACTCTTGATATTATTGTCACGTTATTTCACTCAAGAATTTTGAATTTTCCTTGAATTTTATAGTTAGGATCACTGGCATTAGCAGCATGTATAACTCCTACTGACCCGGTAAATTGATTATTTATTATTATTATTCTATCCATTTGTAATTGATTCATCTAAATAAAAATTTTAATTTTCTTTCTTTTTTTTTTAGATTTTATCAAATTCAGTGGTTAAAGGAAAATTTGCAGAGGTAATGAGCGAACAACATTTACAAATGATTTTAATTTATATATTTTTTTTTAATTTTTGCAATAATTACGCTTATACAGAAACATGTTCCTCCTCATATTCGAAATTTACTTTCAGCTGAAAGGTATGAATAAATGAATTTTTATTTGTGTATCTCTTTTTACATTACTTTTTTTTATTTACTGTTTATTATATATTCTTTAATATCCTTTAATATTCTTTAATATTCTTTAATATTCTTTAATATTTTTTAATATTTAGTGGAGCAAATGATGGTAATTATCAAATTAGATGTCACAGTTACACAATTACACAATTATAATTATAAAATTATCAAAACTAAAATGAATTAAATATCAACAATTATGATATAAATTTAAAATCAGGTTGCGCAACTCCATTTTTATCTTTTGCATTTTACCTAATGGAGAGAGAATCTGTTGGTCCAATTATTGGAAAATGGATTTTAATTTCGTGGCTTTATGAAATTGGAGTTGCAATTGTTGTGGGAATTGTTGCCGTAAGTAATTAATTTTATATAATAAAAAAATAATTTATTTATATTTTATTTTAATTAATAATATCATTTATATAATTTAATTTAGGGATATATTGCAAGAAAGCTATTATATTATTCAGAACAAAAGTAAGCAAGCAATAATAATGATGATGATGATGATGATGATGAATTTATTAATTAATCATTTTTTCACTTTATTATCTTAGTCGATTAATAGATAAAGAATCATTTCTGGTGTTTGCCATAGCTTTAGCAGTATGTTTATGGTTATAAATATATTTTATATATTATACTTAATAATATGCAATACGTAATAATACACATTATTTTTTTTTAATAATAATAATAATAATAATAATAATAATAATAATAGTTATTCGTAATGGGATTTGTCGCAATGATTGGTTGTAATGATTTTTTAGCATGTTTTGTTGCTGGAACTTCTTTCACCTGGGAGTAAGTATTCGCAACATATTTTCACACGTGCATTCTTTCTCTTACATTATTCTTACACGCGTACTTTTTATACTTTTCATTAGTGATTGGTTTCGAACGGAAACAGAAGAAGCTCATTTACAAGAAGTCATTGATATGTTATTAAATTTAGCAGTATTTGTATTTATTGGATCAATTATTGAATGGAGATCATTTCATTTACAAATACACATTTGGAGATTACTTGTACTTTCATTATCGGTATTATTATTAAAGAGAATGCCAATAGTATTTTTATTTTCTAAAATTAAATTATTACCAGCAGTTAAAACTTGGCGTGAAGGTAAACAATAATAATTAATTTTATTTATTTATTTAATTATGAAATATATTTTAATTTATTCTTTTGATATTTTATTATTATTAGCTTTATTTACTGGATGGTTTGGTAAGATTTTTATTTTTTCATTTTAGAATATTTTTATATTTAAATTAATTCGTTTATTCTTTTGCGTACGTATGTTTAATAGGTCCCATAGGTGTTGGTAAATATTTATTTTATCTATTTAAATAATTTAAAAATTTAAATTTATATTTAAATAATTTAAGTTAATTAGATTTAATCAATTTTTTTCTAAAAAAAAATAAAATAAAAGGTGCAATATATTACGTAACAATAGTAGATAAAAAAACACCAAATAATACGGTTCTTCATGAAGTTGCTCAACCAAGTAATATGATTAACATATATATATATATTTTTTATTTATTATTAAAAATATTCTAATTTTAATTTTTATTTCATTATTTTTATTATTTTATTTAGTTATTTTCTTCCTAGTATTTAGTTCTATCTTGGTACATGGAATTACAGTTCGTAAGTCATTCATTAATATCGTATTTCTTTTTTTAGTATAATTCTTACTCCTTTGTATTGTATTCTCACTTCCATTCTCATTCTCATTCTCATTCTTTATTCATTTATTTTTTAGCTTTGATCAAGATTTCAAAAAGGTAAATATCATTTTTATACTGGATTACATTTATATTTGTTTATATCTTTTACTCATGTATATATTTAATATTTACATTTTAAATAAAATAGAATCAACACTCGAACCCTTACTATAAGTTCAATAAACAATCAAGTTTCAAGATTACAAATAATTAAATTTGGTCAAGATATAGTAATTGATAAGAGATCGAAAAAAACCAATGGAGATATTGTTAATAATGAAGGTGAAGGTAATAAAGATGAAGGTGATAATAAAGAAGATAATCAAGAAGAAGGAAGAGTAAGAATTGATATAACAAATCCCGAAGATAGAAATTCTCAAGAAATTGATATCACTGAACCAACATCATCATCATCGACTTCACAACCACCAATTAAAAGAGGATCAATGAGTTCAAAGTATGCAATTTGGGATGAAGGAGATAATTATATTATTGAAAATTATGAAGGTGAAGATATTAGAGTTGTACCTTCATCGTCGGTATCGTATAAATTTTAAATAATTGATTGTAACAGATAATAATAGTATTAAAATCGGACGACATTAGATAACATCAGATATAAATGAATTTGTATCCTTTAACATTTCTTGATGTTTTGAACATTATATAAGTATACAAATTATCTATTATAGTATATGGTGCATGTGAAAGGTTTTTGCGTATAACTTATACTCTACTCAAACAGTTAAATTAATCAGATTAAATTTTAGATGGCAAAAGAAAGTAGATACTCTCTTAAAAATTTGTATTTTATAAAAAAAAATAACATTCAATAATCATTGATAACATTTTGATTAAAATTTCTTTATTATTAAAAGTGAATAAAATTATAATAACAAATATAATAAACCTAATTTTATTAATATTATTAATATAACATATAAATATTAATATTATGTTGCAAAGAATTAGATTAACAATTCAAATGAGCATTATCACACCCAATAACAATTTTGTTAAAGTTAGATGAAAGGTTTTACATCTTTGAGTAGGACTGTATTTTGTACTTGGGGAAATGTAGGTCTTAGAAGCTCTGTTTAGAATAAATTGCACAAACACATGAAAATGTAAATTGCAACGAAAATAAAGAATTCGTAAAATGATGAATTTATAATATTTGTAATTCATGGTCGCGAATTGTTCAAATCTTTGAAGTTTTGTTTAATCCGTTAAAAAGGAAAATTAGAAATAAAAAAAAATACATTTAAAATTATAAAAAAATTATGGAATTTTTATGATTCGAAAGCCTAAACATATTTCATATTACCTAAACGTATTATTGTTTTTAAATATAGTAAAATATGGTCAAAATTATCCCAATATGAAATGAATTATTATAAAAGAAACGAGAATTCTTCTTTATTCATTAATTATAGATTTTAAGAACTCGGACCAAAATAATTCTGGTTTAATAGATGGCCATTGAAAAACAATCGATAACCAGCCCTACTTTGTTTATTTATTTTCTCATGCTCCAGTCGAGGATGCGGTAGTGCCGTACATCAAGAATCTGCCAAGTTTATACCCCTAACTTTTCACAGTAATTAATTTATAGATTAGATTAGATAAAAATGCGAGATTAAAAGATTTTGTGAAATTTTTAATAATAAACAATAAACAAATATTTACACTTTATTATAAGTTTATTATTAAATACGAATAAAATTTTAATTATAATAAAAAACTCACTTTTGTTTAGGGGTTGGAACCGGGTCCCTTTGAGAAAACCAAATATGGATGATTTTAAAATCGGATATCCGGGTGAAAACGGATGATTTTCTAAAAAAAATTCCATCCGATTTCACCCGGATTTGTATAATCCGGTTTCACCCGGATACCGCTGGTGACCCTGGTTTAAACTTTCGAAACCTAATCAGGGACTATGGTTTTATGCAATCACATTAAATGAATAATTTTGCATAAAACAATTTTATCACATCATAAAATTGCATAATTTATAATTCTCTATAGTCTATCACATAATCCACAGTATGATGTTTAATTGTTATTGATTATAATTGATTTATAAATCCTTTTTCCTTTTTTTTGTGATGTCACCAAAAAAAACTCAAAGCTATACCAGTTCACAGCAGATGTAAAGAATATGGCAATATTTTTCGTGTTGATGATAATATACTTTTTTTGTAACTACTGCAATACTTCTGTAGAGTGGAAGCAAAAATCAGTTGTAGATAACCATTGTAAAAGTCAAAAACATATTTCAAATGTGAATAGTCATAACAATAAGGAAAAAATAAAACACAACTTACTCTTTCTACTACCCAAACTGCAGCTGATTTAAAAAAACAAGTTATTTAAGATCTCTTAGAAGCATTTATAGTAGCAGATATTCCTCTTGAAAAAGTTAATAGACTAATTCCATTTTTTAAAAAGTATCTCAAAAATGGTGGTTCAATTTCTTAGGCCCCAACACTTCGTCAAATTTATTTACCTAATGTTTTGATAAACATTATCAATTTTTAAAGTTATTATTTGATTCTAAACCAGTGGCTATAATTATGGATGAAACTACAGATGATTGTGCAAGAAGCATTGTTAACACTATTTTTACTTATCATGACAAAACAAAACTAGTATCCATAGATTTTCTTGAATGAGTTAACAATACTACCATAGGACAAACTCTTATAACTATTCTTACAAATTTCAATATATCCTTTAATTTACCACGATTGTTTCTTTCTGATTCAGCTGCCTATATGAAGAAATGTCATTGGGAAATTTTATTACCATTAATGCCTCAATTAACTCATGTTTCATGTTGTGCACATATTTTAAATCTTATTGGATACAAATTTATTTATTTATTTATCTAATTTATTTATTTAAATTTTTTAAATTAATTTTTATTCTTAATTTAATATAAAAATTATATTTTAGAGATACTTGGAGAACATTTCCACATTTTAAAATGTTAAAGAATCTCCTGGAAAAAATTAAAGAAGTTTTTGTTTATTCTCCCGCTCGGCAACAAAATGTATGGGATTTTTTCTCCTTGTAAAATTCCTTTATACAACAAAACCCACTGAAATTCCTGGTTTAAGATGGTATTTTATGCAAAAGATCATATAGTTTATTGGCCTACCTTTTTAAAAAAGAAGCTGAAAATGATAAAAAACATAATGATCTGGAGGTTATCAATTCTCATTTATAGAATGAACAAGAGTTTGGTGTTATTATCATTTATCTTAATTTTATTTCAATTTATGCAAAAGAATTTGTTCAAGACTTAGATTTTTTTCAACAATCAAAAAAGCCTATTTTTTCATTAGTGGAATCACGACTTCAACAACTTACTTCATATATTGAAACAAATAGAAATGCAAATTATTTTGGTCCATTATTAGAAAACTTAATTACAAGTTTAAAATTTAATGTAGAAGAATTTTATATTATTTTTAGAGAAGCTTTTGAAGTAGCTTGTCAAAAATTTAAAGTACACATTTCTAATCATCCATCCCATTTACTTTTTCATGCAAGTCAAGTTTTTGATCCAAAATATATTCATATAGGAGATATTTTACAAAAGGATATTATAAGATATAATATTATTAAAGAATTTGATAATCCATCAGATGAGTTATTACAAGAATGGGAAATTTATTGTGAATTAAATAATGAAATAATTAATGAAATCAAATTAGATCAATATTGATTAAGTAAGGCAATACAATTACCAATTCTTTTTAAAATAGCTTTTGATCACCAATATCAAGTTGTAGTGTAGAATGAAGTTTTTCAATGTATAATTCTTTATTAGATAGTGTTCGTCAAAATTTATCTTTGGATTCTCTTAAAAGATTAAATATGTTATATTTAAATGACTTTTAATATAAAATTTAATAAATAATAGTTTATTTTTTTTGTTCTATTTTTATTTCGTATTAAATTGAATTTACTATAAAATTTATAAATAATATCACATTTTAGTATAAAACTAATAAATAATATCATTTTGTCACCGCATAATTTCATCGTCCCTGTGTAGCTCTATATTATAATATAACGAAGTATTATTCTTTTTTTTTTGCCAATTTTTATAATATTTATAAATCAATTGTTTGCACAATTAACAATGATTTAACAATGAAACGATTATACACAACAATTCTTCCAAAGAATTGCTTTCGGGAGGGATAAATTATAGTTGAGCGTTGCACAGTAATAAACTAGTCGTAGGATTTTTAACATGTATAAAGCGTATAAGAATTTCCGTACAAAAAGGAGGTAATAAAGCAAGTTATAATAATGTAAATAATGAGTTTGTAATACATGGTCACGAATCGTTGTAGTTTGTTTAGAAAAAAAAATTTTTTTATAGGAAACAAAAGAAATAAAAACTATAAAAAATCAGACCTTGATTTCTTTAAACACTTTAATTTTATGCTATGCTCGTCAAAATGTATTGTTTCAGATAATATTGTTGACTTATTGTTTTTATATTTGCCGGAAATATAATTGCCGAAACCGAAAATATTTTCGGCTGCCTTAATTATTTGGATGCCTTAACTATTTTCGGTTCCCATAATTATTTTCGGCTGCCTTAATTATTCTATATGCCGAAATTATTTGCTGACAATAAAAGTTTTCAAAATTTTTTTGTGCATTTTTTACATTTTTTTTTTTTGAATTTGCTCGCGATTTATGAAACATACAGCAATTTCCTACTAATGCATTTCTATAATAAATCGAGAGGTCTTGTTCTTGGCTACAAAATGGTATATTTTTCATCTCTGTGGTGTCGATATTCCACGGATTTTTTACTTTAAACTGTAATAATTCGATGAATATCGAATGAAATGTATACCATTTTGTAGCCAAGAACAATGTCTTTCGATCTATTATAGAAATATTTTAGTAGAAAATCGTGAGCGAATTCAAAAAAAAATGTTAAAAACGCACAAAAAAACATTTTGAAAACTTTTGTTGGCAGCAAAATAATTTCGGCATATAAAATAATTATGGCAACCGAAAATATTTTCGACATTTTCAGTTTTGAAAGTATATGCTGAAAAGACATTTTGACGTGCCGTAATGCCGTAATTCTGGCTAATTTCGGCAACATCTATAATGTGGAATACTAAGGATGATAGAAATATTTAGATATGGTAATTTCTTTTGATATTTCTTGAGATTTAAGACTTTAAATTATTTTCTGAAAGAAAGAATTCAATTACTATCGTTGCCTTATTATTTCCCCTTTAGAAGCTATTAAAAACAACGAAATTCTTTTTATGATTCTTATTTTAAAACAACTGAAATTCTTTTTATAATTCTTATTTTATTTGCATAACAATAACCAAAAAAAGTTTATTTCCTCATTATTTTTCGTTGGTTTGTATTTTCCATTTATGCAGAGAATGAAAATTTTTATCAAAAGTTGAACTTTAAATTTATTTATATTTTATAAAAAGTTTGCATGTTGAATTTATATATAGATTAAAGGTTATAATAAAAAAAAATAAACTTTTAGTCAATAATTATGTACGTTTTATGAGAAGTCCAAACATCTTATGTGTTCAAACATCTTATGTGTTGATCTTGGTTATCAATTTTTATCGTGTCGCCCATTTCGAAAAGACCAAACCATTTGTGAAGTTTTGAGGAAATTCGGGGGGTGTCTATTTTCTATTATCCCAATTTATAGTTCCTTGTGCTTAAATACCAGCGGTTATGTGTCTATATGAATGAACTTACTTTATTTAATTTTTTAAATAAAAACGTTTTCCATTTTTGGTTTAATCATTCTATTGTCATCACATGTGCATTCAATTTTTATTTTAGAGATTTCTTTAAATTACTAATTTTATACTAAATCTTATTTTAGATATTTCCTTAATTTTAAACCAATATCCTGTTTTAGAAATTTCTTTAAATCCTAATTTTATTAAAAATTTGGTTAGAATGGTTAATATTAAGAAAGATAAAAAGATATTATATATAACATGCGAATATCGTAAAAGTAAACGTAAAATTAAAATAACCTTATCATATTATTATCCTATTATTATTTTTACATAAGAAAAAAAGAATAAAAAAATCATGTCTACAACAACTAGCAATGACGATAATAATAATGAAAAAAATTTTGTAATAAAAGAAGGAAATGACTCATACAATTGTTGTGACAATAATTCATATGTTAACAGTGAGAAAAATATTGATGATGATGATGAACTTCCTCGAGTTCAAATGTCTAAAATTAAATTAGATATATTATTTTCTGGGTAATTAATATATATATATTTATATATACAATTCACTCTTTCAATTCTCTCGCTTCTTAATCTTAAGCAATAACTTTAAATAATAACTTTGAAAATTGATTTACGACATAGACTTTTATTCGGAGTATTATTATCATCATTAAATATGACTATTGTCGCTACAGCTATGTAATTATCTTTCTTATTATTGATATTGTTATTGCCTTTTATTGAAATTATTATTATTAACTTTGTATGTATTTAATATGTTATTTTCCAGACCAGCTATATTTAATCAATTTGGATCAATTGAAAAGACCGCCTGGGTCGCAATTGCCGATTTATTCACAGCCGTAATTTGATTCTTCAATTAAGATTCTTTAATTTTTCATCTTTCATTTAATTCGATTTATTCTCTAACTAATAAAATTTATAAAAAAAAAATAAATAGACAGCTTTTCAACCAACTTATGGAAATTTTGCAGATATTTTTGGTAGAAAAGTCACTGTATTATCATCATTATTAATTTTCGGAATAGGATCTGCATTATCCGGCGCATCGTCTAGTATAGTAATTATCATTATTTATTATATAAAGTAATTGTCATTATTATATAAAGTAATTACGTTCATTCGTCATTCATTAATTTTTAATTTTATTTCATTTAGAATATGTTGATTGCATCTAGAGCAATTACAGGTATTGGTGCAGGAGGATTTATTGGGTATGTATTTTTTTTAAAATCCTAAAAGATATTAATCTTTCTTTCTTTCATGTCCGCTCATATTTTAAGTGATTTACTTTCTTTTTAGTTTGACAAGTATTATAATAGCAGATATTGTGAGTCTCAAAAATCGAGGAAAATATATGGGATTCGCTGGAGGAGTTTATGCCATAGGATCAATATTAGGACCACTTCTAGGTGGACTTTTTTCAGATCGTCTTTCTTGGAGGTGAAATAATTTTCATTTGCTAATAATTGCGATTATTTACATTATTTTCTTTATATTTTCTTTATATTTTCTTTATATTTTCTTTATTGTTACAGATGGATATTTTATATTAATCTACCACTTGGAGCTTTAATAACTATTTTTATAATCCTTTTACTAAACATACCTTCTCCCCCAGGATCTTTAAAAGACAAACTTAAAAGAGTTGATTGGTTGGGAACATTATTAATGGCTATTTCAGCAATTTCATTATTATTACCTTTACAATATGGTGGAATTGAACATTCTTGGAATTCGCCACTGATCATAATATTATTTATTTTGGGAGGTTTGGGATTTATAGCGTTTGTTTATGTCGAAACTTTTATTTCCATTGAACCAATTGCTCCTGGTATGAATTATATTATATCATTATTATTATCATTATCGTTTAAAATTTTTTTATAAATTATTATTTTTTTTTTTTATTACTTTCAGTCAAATTATTTAAAGATCGAACAATTGTCGCATGTTTTGCTTTAAACTTTTTCTATAGCATAGGTCTATATGAAAATATATTTTATGTTCCATTGTTCTTTCAAATTGTTGATGGTGATTCAGGTAAATATATTACTCCTTATATTGCATTGTATTATATTAAACTTTAAATTATTACTCAATATATTAAACTTTATATTAAACTTTTATTATTTAATATAATAAAAACTTTAAATTATATTATATTTAAAAAAATTTTTTAGCCACAAAGTCTGGTACTAAATTACTTGCATATGTTTTGGGAGCAGTTGTCTCTGCTGTAATAACTGGTCAAATACTATCCCGTGCATCAGGTTATTCATATAAAATAATATGTGTAATGGGTGGAGCTTTAATGACTATTGGAGGAGGATTAACTTTCGGTTTTAATGAAAATACAAATTCAAGAGAACAAATTGGATATCTTTTAATTTCTGGGTTAGGTGCTGGATCAGTTTTTCAAACTGGTTTATTAGCAGCGCAGGCCATGGTTAAGCTAGAAGATATTGCTACAGTTACTTCTTTGGTATGTTTATTTATTTATTACAATCCATTATATGTGCATATTTTTATATATCTATTAAAAAATTTAATGTTTACCAAATTTTTTTTTTAAAATAATATTAGATAACATTCTTTAGATCACGTAAGTAATAATTTTTTATATTTTTTTATATTTTATAAATTTTATATATTTACTATATTTACTATCATTTTTTTTCTATTCCAGTGGGATCAGTAATAGGACTATCAATATTTTCTTCAATCTTCAATAACTTTTTAATTAAAAATACTCTTGAAACATTTCCTGGTTTTAAAATTGATCAGTTCAAAGGAGATCTTAACACATTTAAAGCTTTACCAAACACAATTAAATCACCTATATTAGGTATATTCGTAAAATCTTTTCAAAATGTATTTTTAGTAGGTCTTATAGCTGGTGGTTTATTACTTTTTAGTTCTTTATTTATGAAAAATTATATTAGAAATGGTAGAGAAAAGATTAGTAAATAACAGAATCTATTTGATTATTAATATTTTAACTCTTATTTAATTATTCTATTGATAAGATTTTTTTTTCTCTAATCCAATAAACTTTATTAATGTTTATTATTTGGCAAGATTATTTTAATAACATCATATGTTTAATATTAAATAATAATAAAAATTCAAAATATAGATTTTACTTATCTACATTCCGTATTCTCAAGATTTTATCTAAATATAATACTACATTATAATAGAATATACTTGGAAAACTCAATATAAAAATAAAAGTAATAAAAGTGAAAATTTTTTTTTGATATTTTTATTGATGTCAAGAAAAATAGAATAATTTATTAATAAATTCATAAGAAAGAAATATGCAATAATTTATATCACTATCGTTACATTATTACATTACAAGTCTAAATAAATTATCAAACTGAAAAGTTTTTTTTTTTAATGTTGATAAAGGAGAAAAATTTAAAAATTTGACTATTTTCTTCATTTAACTTTTAATATAAATTTCCATCATATTCTTGGTTGACATTTTTGTGAATATGCTTTTTTTGTATAATTAAAATGTTAAAAGTTCCAAAGACAACTTTATATATTTGACTGTATGCTTTTTTTAAACAGTTCTTTCGTAATAAATTACTTCAAATATTTTTTCATTTTATAACTTTCGAAATAAAGAAATAAAAATTTATCTTATAATTTTATTAAACAAAGAAATAAATAAAACAAAGATACAGTATATCAATTTGCATATTTATTTCTATAAGAAAAAAATTTGTCTTCCGCTTTTCCAATAATAATAATAATAATTTTTATGCGATTTAACGTTACTTACAATAAAGAATATTCACCGATCTATTTAAATTACAATAAAGAATATGCTTAAAATAATCGTTGATATTATCATCGTCGGGTCCATACAAGAATAACGGAACAAGAAACAACCGCAACAGCAAAGAATCATAATAAACAGCTCCTAGTAAAAAAATATCTAATCAAAATTTTCTTTCATTGCTTTATTTTTATTTTATTGTAAGATCATTATGAATACCAGAAATTGCTCTCAGTTTTAAATATAAATTTTACTTTAAAAAGGTTAATGATAAATTTCTTAATGATTACAATTAACTTCTACTTTTAATGGAATCAATTATTTCATCAAAGCTGATATATAGATAAAAAAGATTAATATATATAGAGACAAACAAGACAAATTAAATATTTTCATGCGAAAATTCTTATAGTCCTTAAAATCTGAAAAATAAAATAAATACATTTCAACATAATTTTTTTTTTTTTTTGAATTTCAAAAAAATGAAATTCGACAAAGAAACTCAAAGAACTTTCAAATGTTATCAGGATGAAGTAATATCTACTTCTCCCCCTCGTTCAACCCTAACATATGTATGGGAAATATTTGTTCACCTTTTCTATACATTTTTAACTGACTGGACAATGCCAATTACTCGACCAATTAATTTTTTTTTCACGTGCATTTTTTATCCTGCTGCTATTTCTATCATTTTGGTTATGAGTTTTGGAATAAGAATAATTAATTATTTTGGTTTGTTTGATTATATCAATTGGTTCGACAATAATGAATGGGGTGGCTATAATGGTGACAAATTAAGTATGATTCTTTAAAGTTTTATAATATTTTATAATGAATCCGTTTTTTAGATTAACCTGTTAACAGAACAAATTAGAGAAAACGGTATGATCGTATTGGGATCCCCAGTTCCAAATCCGCCTCAACCTATTCCTTTCAATATTGACTTGGTCGAGACTCTATTATTCTTTAGCTCCGTTGTATATTATCGTGGAAACCCGAATTACAATAAAATGACTGATACGACGAAGTCAACAATAAAAAAACGCCGAAACGACGCAGAAAAGACAATTGTTGAAATAATTCGTCCTTGGGGAATAAAATTTCACTCTTTCGGTGAATTAAGCTCGACTGAAAATATATTTGCTGGACTATTTTGGTCCCATGAAAAAAATTTTATCGTTGTGTCATTTAAAGGCTCTTCACCACCAGTTATCAGTGATTTTATAACTGATTTTCTTTTTAATCGGGTTGATGCACAAGCATTCGTCTATGGGATGATGCATCAGGGATTTTATTATAGTTTATTTAATGATTATGATGATAATTCAAAGAGTTGTACTGCTAATAGTTTAGTTGAGGTTATACTTAAGAAAGTCGAAAAATGGAACAATCCTACACCTGTAAATATTTGGCTTACTGGTCATTCGCTTGGTGGTTCTTTAGCTCAAGCATTTTATGCAAGGTACTGTAAATTAATTTTTTAATAATTTAAATGTTTTATATGTTGTGAAATATCTTTTACTCATTTTCTTTCATCTCCGTTTATTTCAAGATTAATTAAGATCCAAAGTTCTCTTGGTAAAAAAATCGTTGTCCGTGATGCCGTTGTTTTTGGGTCACTAACTTTGGGTGATCTTGATTTTGCATCTTCATTCCATGGCATGTTAAATTTAAAAACGAACGAACATAGAACCCTTTGGCGAATCATCGGTGATGATGACGTTGCCGCTAGAGTACCACCAAGACATTTACTTAAACGATTTCGTCAATATGTTACAAAGGAGGATGTAATGAATTATTATCTTATTGGCAATGAAATGCAATTCTTTCATGATGGTCGGAAGCCTAAAACCCATCAAATCTAAGTACAAATCCAATATCTGATGTATTTGGGGTATTGACGAAATTAATCACACTTAAACCATTTATTGATCATTGGCCTGTGACTTACTTTAAGGCTATAGAAAAGCCGAATCTGATGAAGTAGATCATTAATTATTTACACTTAATAATATAAATAAAATTCTTTATTCATATTATCTATAACATTTTCCTAAAGACTATAAATAAAGCCTTAAATTGAATCTGTATTTATCTTTTCCGCGTATTTTATGCGTATTTACTTTATTATCTAATAATTATTTTCTTTATCCTATATAAAAATATGAAAACTTATTTATTTAATATATGAAGTTATAATGTAGGTTACTACACTTTAATTATAAAGTCATTCCAAAGTTCACAATATTTTATTTATTGCATACAACTTCAAAAAATTACTGTTCGGAAACCATCGAAATTTTAATAATACTACAAAAACGAAATAAGTAAAAAATCGAAGATAAATCCTGATAAACTGCATAAATATTTTTAAAGAGATATTAATATTGTAATTTTTTCTTTCGAATTATTCATCCGAATAATGATATTATCTTCGATTTTCTCAGTTATTTTATTTATCAATAATTTAACATTTTGATTATATATGAAAACCTAATTTCTATTTCTCCGATAGCATCGAAAGTATGGTTAAAGTCAATTAGATTATGATTATTTACGATAATGAAAGTTTTAACTAGAGAAAGATCATTTTGAATAATAATACTACTTAATATTTTCTATTATTTTTTTCCTTTTTTTTTTATTTTTTTGTTCCCTCCCATTCTACGACTTGAGGCCTGCCTTAGATAAGACTCATTGCTTCAATTATAGCCTTAACAGTTTTTTTTTCTTTTGATTTGTGAAAAAGGGTAATCTTTCTACAAGACACGGGCACATTTTGGATTCTATTCATTTTTATTTTCCTTTATTTCGTTGAATTTCCATATTATATCGGTAATTAATATTTTGTTAATTATTATTTATTAATTTTAATAAGTAATACTTTAATTATAGTGAAGATACATTAGATACGGTTGGAATATCATAACAAATTGTTAAATCTAATTTTTGATAACTCGGATTTTTTAGATATCAAAACAAGACTTTAATATCTAGTAAAAATTTAAATCACGAATAAAAAAGATATTTATTAAAATATAGTGGAATTAAAAAAAAAAAATTATCAAACGTTGTTACATATAAAAGTTTATTTCCTGCTAATAAAACATCAAAATTTTCATAAAATAATTTTCGAACGTTTAGACTTTTTAAGTCCAATTCTTATTCAATAAATATTCAAACTTTTAGTTGACTTAGTATGTTTTTATTAACTTTATTAGTATGAAACAAACTTTTATGTGATAAACGTTTGATAATTATTTTCGGATTTTTTTTTTTTTTAAAAAAAATACCAAAGCAAAATGATCGAGCAAACGTTCGAAAATTATTATATTCATTGATAGGTCTCTACATTTTAAATTTTTAATGTTTTATTAGTATAAAATATGTGACATTTGATAATTATTTTCGGTTTTTTTTTTTTAAATAAAGATTATTTTTATGGTAATATCAATTGAACTAGTTATCAAAGAAAAAAGGACTAGAAAAAATTTGTGCAATTTAGATACTCGTTGTGCATGTATCCTATTTACTTAATTGTGAATATTGCCTTCGACATCTGTCTTAATATCAAATTCTTTTCGATCCCTTTTAAGCAATGATAATGAGAAAATAAGTAGGAGATGGTTACTTTAGCAGCATTAAAAATATCGCGTAACGTTATATCGCGACTTAAAAACTAAAGTCAGATTTGTTTGTATGTTGTAGAATTAAATACCTGCTTTTTTATCTTTATTGTAACATCATTATATCAATGAATACCGGAGTTGATCTCTTTTTTAAAATTTTACTTTAAAAAGGTTATTCGTGTTTAGGTCAAATTACTTTCTAAGCAATAAACTTCTATTTTTAATATATACAAATAAAAAATTAATATATATAAGACAGATCAAATATTTTCATGAGAAAATTCTTATAGTCCTTAAAATCTGAAAAATAACAATAAATACATTTCACAATTTTTTGAATTTCAAAAAAAATGGGATCCGACGAAGAAACTCAAAGAACTTTCAAATGTTATCAGGATGAAGTAATATCTACTTCTCCCCCTCGTTCAACCCTAACATATGTATGGGAAATATTTGTTCACCTTTTCTATACATTTTTAACTGACTGGACAATGCCAATTACTCGACCAATTAATTTTTTTTTCACGTGCATTTTTTATCCTGCTGCTATTTCTATCATTTTGGTTATGAGTTTTGGAATAAGAATAATTAATTATTTTGGTTTGTTTGATTATATCAATTGGTTCGACAATAATGAATGGGGTGGCTATAATGGTGACAAATTAAGTATGATTCTTTAAAGTTTTATAATATTTTATAATGAATCCGTTTTTTAGATTAACCTGTTAACAGAACAAATTAGAGAAAACGGTATGATCGTATTGGGATCCCCAGTTCCAAATCCGCCTCAACCTATTCCTTTCAATATTGACTTGGTCGAGACTCTATTATTCTTTAGCTCCGTTGTATATTATCGTGGAAACCCGAATTACAATAAAATGACTGATACGACGAAGTCAACAATAAAAAAACGCCGAAACGACGCAGAAAAGACAATTGTTGAAATAATTCGTCCTTGGGGAATAAAATTTCACTCTTTCGGTGAATTAAGCTCGACTGAAAATATATTTGCTGGACTATTTTGGTCCCATGAAAAAAATTTTATCGTTGTGTCATTTAAAGGCTCTTCACCACCAGTTATCAGTGATTTTATAACTGATTTTCTTTTTAATCGGGTTGATGCACAAGCATTCGTCTATGGGATGATGCATCAGGGATTTTATTATAGTTTATTTAATGATTATGATGATAATTCAAAGAGTTGTACTGCTAATAGTTTAGTTGAGGTTATACTTAAGAAAGTCGAAAAATGGAACAATCCTACACCTGTAAATATTTGGCTTACTGGTCATTCGCTTGGTGGTTCTTTAGCTCAAGCATTTTATGCAAGGTACTGTAAATTAATTTTTTAATAATTTAAATGTTTTATATGTTGTGAAATATCTTTTACTCATTTTCTTTCATCTCCGTTTATTTCAAGATTAATTAAGATCCAAAGTTCTCTTGGTAAAAAAATCGTTGTCCGTGATGCCGTTGTTTTTGGGTCACTAACTTTGGGTGATCTTGATTTTGCATCTTCATTCCATGGCATGTTAAATTTAAAAACGAACGAACATAGAACCCTTTGGCGAATCATCGGTGATGATGACGTTGCCGCTAGAGTACCACCAAGACATTTACTTAAACGATTTCGTCAATATGTTACAAAGGAGGATGTAATGAATTATTATCTTATTGGCAATGAAATGCAATTCTTTCATGATGGTCAGAAGCCTAAAAACCCATCAAATCTAAGTACAAATCCAATATCTGATGCATTTGGGGTATTGGCGAAATTAATCATTCTTAAACCATTTATTGATCACTGGCCTGTGACTTACTTTAAGGCTATAGAAAAGTCGAGACATCATTTTAACACGGAATCTGATGAAGTAGATTATTAATTATTTACACTTAATAATGTAAATAAAATTCTTTATTCATACTATCTATAACATTTTCCCAAAGACTATAAATAAAGCCTTAAAGTTGAATCTATATTTACCTTTTACGTGTACTTCAATCATACTAATCATGTACACTTAACACTCGCCAGCTAAAGTATAATCGTTACAGGACAATTTTTATACAATAATAACTCAAGATCTAGTGTATAATAATGAGTCAATTTTTTTCCACATGGTTATAGACCTATATTATATAAAATTATTTTTTTTATGCCCAAAACTTGTAAACCCACCGAATTTGAACATGGCAAAATTATTGGCCACTGGAAAGGTGGTCACAGTAAACATAATATTGGAGCCATTCTTAACTATCCTAAAACAGCTATTTACGATGTTATTGAAAAATATAGAACCCAATAACAAATACAAATGCCATCTAAATTGACTGAAAGACATCTTGTAAAATAGTAATAGAAGATCATTAACGATCTTTAGGTGAGATAATAGAAAAATTCAAACTTTACACTGTCGCGGTCTGCGCAGAACAAGTGGAAAGTTAAACCAATCAGTCTCAATAAATTTAGGTCAATCACACGATAATTCAATGTATTACTAACACACTATCTCTTGTACACAATATCTCAAAATACAGCAAGGCAAGCAATTAGTTGATCTAAACCTGTTTACTGACACTCATAAACAGTGCAATTACATGTAATATCTGAAGGTACAGTGAACAAGTGGAGTAAAAATATCTTTACTAACTACTTCATATGCTACCAAAATTTAACAGACTTTTTGAAATAACTTGTCAAGAAGAGTAAAACAGTTTATTAAAAGATTAATTAAAATTTATTAAAAGAATAAGTCAATAAGAATATATTATTGCATTGACATATCTTATCTCTATTACTATTCTGGTACACAAAATTATTATTAAAATTAAAAACTATTATAAAAATTATTTATTATTATTAAGATTATTTTGAAACTATTTGTATTTTTTTTATTACTAGAATTATTAGAAAATTATTTTTAAAAATATATATATATATATAATTATGAAATATTCAGATTGTTACAAAATTATTTGTTATAAATTTATTAAGAATTTGTTATTAAGGTAAGAAGATTATATTATTTAAAGGTTTCACAAGAAGAGAGATCTCCTTTTCTTTCTTTCCAGCTGCAGCTATTTTATAGTTTTTCTCTTTGTTTATCTTCATTCTCTGTCATCTAAAAAACATTTTCATGCCAGAATGAATAAACAGTTATCCTGAATGATGGACAATATACAAGGATAATTTATCAAAATAGTGATACATATCATTCTCTATTATTCCCTGTGACTCCAGCTATTTTTGTGCTGCCTCATCAGGCAGTAGCTTAGATGTCACCAATATCACACATGATCACATTTAAAGAATGCCACCAATATATTAAGACTTTGTGGAAGAGTGGAGTTTGTAAAGTCTTGGCTTTTCAAAAAATAGCTAGCTTTCCTAAAAAAACATTATATAGATAGGTTAAACAACTTGAAAAACAAAAGACTTTAAACAAAAAAGTTGCTCTGGCCATCCAACTTGTCTTACTCCTACCTAACGACATTACTTTAGTCAGATCGTAAAATCTGAAAAATCTGCAACAGGTAGTAAACTAGTG